CCACCATTTCAGCTGACTTTTTCTCAGAAATACTGTCACATAACATCCATATATTTCAGTGCTAGGTTGATGCTTAGCTAAGCTAACTATGAAACACTTTAACTGACAGGACTCAGGATCAACTGTGTACTGTAAGGTAGCTTCTAGCTTCATGTCGAACAGTAAGTCAACATTTCCCAGAGAGCTTTCTTTGAAATCACCAGGTAACGCTAAAAAACATTACATTTAGATTGTATGACAAAGTGTTTATTTAATATATCTGGCTAGCTATAGCTACTTGCTAACGGTTTAGCTTACCCCCGCGATTCAAAGTAACGTCAACGTAGCTGTAATTTATGCTTTGCTTACATGTTCGCATAACTTGGAAGTTTACTGACATTTACATACCTTGTTTACCTGGCTCAAGTGGTGGCTCTGGGGTTGTTGTGTGAGCCACCACTTGAAAATTCTCGTATTTTTTAAGAAAAAATGTTCTTATGTCCATCTTCAAAAACTCTGAGTCCAACTGACAGTTTATTTGAAACATTGTCACAGCTCACAGGATAGGTACCTGTCAGCCAATAAGACATGTTTATTTCCATTCAACTCTCAGGTTGGTCTGGTGCCTTGCCTCTGTTGCATTCACTGAACACGGGAAATTACAATCCTGCCGTCCTCTCTAGTGTCATGATGAGGTTCAGGTAAAGCACGGTTAATGTATTATATTATTGACTCAATAATATAATACATGACTTTGAGAGTAGGCAATCTAGGCATATTAACAAAATGAATTAAACATACTTATCACGGCAACGGTGTACTGAGTTTCTTTTTTTTTTTCATTTTTTCATTTTTTTTGTTGTTGCTAGGGGGCCCCTTAGTGGCTGCGGGGCCCTAAGCGGCCGCTTATGTCGCTTAATGGGTCGGGCCGGCTCTGCATATGTGCCCCCTCTGTGTAAAGAGATTCTGAAAGTTTCAGGAAAAAAGATTGTCTCTCTTTTTGTCCTGATCCATTTACATATAAAAACCTGTCTGAAAATGAGCTGATCAGATTTTGGCCACTTTATGATGTCATAACGATTTTTTGGCTTGTGTAAACATTAGCCAATCACCAACCAAGGTAACCGCCACCCACCTTATCACCTGAATCTCCTCCTAGAGCACCATTGTGTTTTTTTTAACCAAATATCTCTCAGAGGGGCGTGGGGAGGGGCTCCTTATTTTCATCTAAAGTAACAGACAGAGAATCAGCACTTTTGAAACAGGTCTGAAACAGAGGGGATTATGGGATGCTACAATGCATGATCTGTTTGGTGTTTCGACTCAAACACTTCAGAGACATGTTTTGTATACATCTAAGACCTATAATACATTGATGAAAAACAGTATAATAGGGGACCTTTAATATATAACATCTTAACCATTATTACAGTATGTTTCATGACTCTCTCTCGTTCTCAGTTAAGGTCAACCAAATGGTGACCGTTGTCACCCGAAAACTATGCAAGCAAAACATAAATTCAGCCAATTATCGTCCTCAGATCTGATGGCCAGAGGGCGACAAATTCAGCGCCCAAGGCAGTGGGAATACTTTGAGGTTTTAAATTTGATAAAAAATGGCTGCTTGTAAAAGTACTTCTGAAGACTCTCGACTTTGGAGCCACTTAAAACAGTTTATACTGTATAAACTATGTCCAGGACAAGGTGTTTGGAAGTTTTGATTTATAGTTAACCACACTGAAGATTATGGAGTTTTTTGTAAGGTCATTACTAGTCAGTCAGCAGCATTTGTAAGCCCTTCTACAACCTAGTCAGTAAAAGCTTCCCTGCAGTGCCAGCCACTTTGAATCTGTTGATTAGTCTTCTCATATTTGTAAGGCCTCAATTTGTCCACCCCCCTCCTAACATCACTAGAATTCATCATTCAAGGTGTTATTTTTCAAAAATGTTCTTCCCGGCGAGCACCTCATAATGATTCATATTTAATACAAAGGTATGATTATGGTGAAATAACTCTAACAACTGTGGGATAATAAATGTGGCAGAATGTGCAGCGCTGAGCTGTCATCACCACAGATGGGTCATTGAGAACATATGACACTGGCAGTGGCGGCCGGTGGTCTTTTTTTTTGGTGGGGCTCTTGACGTACCGTAAGTGACCTGTCCGGGGGGTCCGGGGGGTTTCCCCCCAAAAAATTTTTTCGAGAAATGACCCCTTAAATGATGACTTCTGGTGATGTTAGAGGGGGGGGGGAAAGGAGAAATCGAGGCTTAAAAATATGAGAAGACTGATCAATACCTCCATAATCTTCAGTGTGGAAAATATTATTTATCAACCTGAACATCTACTACTTTACCAGGAATTTGTGTTCTCAGAACTAGTCTGTTTTTTTCTTTCTTAAAACTGTTCATGTTTTATGAACCAACACCTTCACCAAGTAGCTTTACAGTGAACTGCATGTGAGATATAAAATTAATAGCATCTTTACAGTAGCATTAATTATAAATATTTAAGTGGTTCAATACAAGTCACTACAGCATTTCAAACTGAACTGTGAATAAATGCAATTTAAAAAAAATAACCACAGCACAAAATGTCATAAATTGTGTTTTTTCTTTGTTTCTCTGAGGATTATTTACAAACAGGCTTATTTACATATAGCAATAACTCAGAAATGAAAAAGCTACATCGTCTAACACGAACAACCACTTAGCATAATGATAATATATGTGTTATGTACAATGTAACTGGCAAGGCTAGAGCAAAAAGAACATAAAGTTTGCAAAAGGTTTAAATAACTTCAAGTATCTGTCTTCAGATTACGTGGAGGTTTTAGTCCGATGGGAAGCAGATTTTAAGCGACACCGAAGATAAACCAAAAATGTGGTGGAGCTGCAAACCGTGTAGTGTTGCTGGGACAGAACAGGAGCTATAACCGTTGGAAAATACATCACAGACAATGCAACAAACGTGGAGACAGAACAATCACTTCTGTGATAAATGCCCACTTATTAATAAACTTCTAACAACCATGGGAAACCTCCTCTCTACATATAAAGTGATATCCAAGCATGGGAAACAAGACAGCATTTACCTGTTTGCATCCAGCTAGCCAAGCCTTTTTTGTGTACCAGCTACTTGCGAAGCCTCGTGTATACGTTTTGTCTTTTTCACGAGATTGCTGCGATATATTCAAATCGGGTTGGTCCGGTCCAAGGTCTTTAAGCAACAATTTATCTGCCAAACTTCTCCTTTCGAAAGGATTGGAGATTAGCTCTTGAACAGAATTAGGCGGGGACCGAGGTCCGGAGACTCCACCTGCACACGAAGCCATCCTCATCAACTACTGCGTCAACCGGATACGAGTCACTGTCCAAACTACTCACAGACTGCACTGGGCGCTGACATTGGCGCCCGGTGACCGTCATCTTTGACGACGCTGATTGGCTGAAATTATATTTTCGCGGCGTAGTTTACACGTTACAGATAGCAACAGTCAGCTGCTAGTGGCTGCTGCTGCACTGGTTGAAGGCTCCTCTCTTAGCGCCCAGACGAGAGAAGGTGCATGGGCAAGGCCAGGCAGGAAACATGTGACTTATCAGTAACTTTAGACATCGTAACACAATTTTAAACGAGATTTTATTGTAGATTATACATTTTACTGATACCAATTATATAATATTTACCTTGTTCATTAAAAATAAAAATAAAAATATATATTTTTTTTTAAACATATTTTTTTTTTTTTATTTTAATTTAATTTATTTATTTATTTATTTTTTTTCAATATGGGAAGAGGTGGGGCGGCGCCCCTAGCGCCCCTATGGACCGGCCGCCACTGGACACTGGTCTTAAAACCAATGTGTCCATATCCAGCAGAACACAACATGTGTCAGTAGAGAATATGAGCAAGTTTTAAAAAGACGCATGACAATCCTTTAATCTTAATTTGAAGCAGCCTATAGAAAAAAAGACTCCCCTCTAGAGACCCATTTGGCTCGTTTTATTTGCCTTCTCTGCTGTGAACTAGGAAGCTGCCAGCTGGTTTAGTAGCTGTGACCATTTGTATATCCCTTTGTGCTCATCAGCAATCACCATAACCTCCAGTCATTAAATACAGAGAGCTGCAAGGCTGATATTAAAGAGATGAACTTCTGGCCTTGTTTTTTCCCAATCGTTCCCGCCGCTTAAGACTCTTGGGCTGCTTGTCGAGACAGGCAAACATGATGTCCCCTTTTTAACTGACTACTTAAAAATTCATTATTTGGTCCAGACTACATGTTTCACATTACTCGTTTTGGTTGGGTGCGCAATAAATGCAAGGCCTTCACATGATCCTTGAGGGACGCCGGATCGGTTGCGAAAATGCGCGCGGATAGAGATGTGTTGTGTAAAATCTTGTGCTCCTTTGTGGGCTGTTGAATTCTTTATTGCTGTTTAATAAGTCATAGAAGCTACCATCCCTGACACTGCACTTAATTGAAAACATATTAATATGTTCCAATTACAGCAAGCCCCCTGAAAGGATTGAATCCAAAAAGGATCAGCTCAAATTATCCAGTTTCATTTGGTAAATTAAGCGATTTACTTCCCCTGAAGAAAGGCAGCTGATAAAATATGCTCGGGAGAAAAAATAAATACCAGTATTTGCTTCTCAAAAAAAAAAAGTGCCTGTGAAGAGAAATAAAAGAGCAGCAGAACAAAATGACTACATTACTGACTGCTTTAATTATAGCGGAGCATATGGTGGACTATACAAATATGGAGAAAGTCAGTCCAACATATCCTCCATCTCTCAGACCTCAGCTCCTCCCCTATTCGTGCGGGGCTTCATTTGATCAAATCCTTCAACTTGGACCACTTTTTTTTACACCACACTGCATTTGAGCACCGCCACAAATGGCAGCAGCACTTCCTCTTCCCATATCCTAGTGGCAATTTACACCCATACAGGCAGGAGAGAAGAGTGGAGGATAAAAAGGACTTCTTACATCCTCTGCATCTTTCTCTGCCGCCAGCAATGGAGAAGGATCTCATATTTAGCCCAAAGTGGCACCTTGTGTTTTGCTTTTTGATTTTGATGATGTTCCATGCCGCCGAAGCGGAGATAACTTGCAGGTCGTGCCAGTCTGGAAATAAGTGGCGCGCTCGGGAATTAATGCTAAAATTCGACACGAGTGAGTCCGCAACAGGATTAAAGAGAGAGGTTGTTGGACAGGGAGACGGGGCAGGGAGATCTGCAAGTGCGGAAAGTGTGCGGCTCCCCTGCGCAGTTGGCTCCGTTGAATGCGCTCCAGCTCCGGCGGAACACACGGAGCCGAGACGGAATATAGACGCAAAAAACAAAAATGTTGAGAGCGAGAAAATGAAAGTTTCCAATGTCAAAACGAGTCAGGAGAGCAGCCCGGGTTTGACTTTTAGCAGAAAGCGTGCCAGGAGGAGCAGTGATGACGGGGAGGAAATCACATCCCCAGCCCAGAGTCAGGACCCGGGAGAGGGCGCGCGCAGAGTTCCGCGCTGGAGCGGAGAGGACCGTAGAGGAGCCGGCGCTCCGAGGCACGACGAGCTGAAAGTTGACAGCACAACGTTCGCCTTGACCGGGGACTCCTCTCACAACCAGGCTATGGTGCACTGGTCCGGCCAGAACAGCAGTGTAAGTGACTTCTTATGTCCACTTTAAGCATCACTGGACACAATCCCCCCCAGAGCATGTGCGCTTATGTTTGTCCGTCAGGTGGGCACGAGCCACCTCAGGAGAGAGTAATCTGATGGGAAAAATGTGTGTGTGTGAAAAAGAGAGAGTCCACACTAATTGTTATCATCATTTGTCTGACACTAAACATGTCATTTACCACATGAGAGGTAAAATACTTTCAGAAAGATATTATTCCCACGACCAATAAAGCATTTATTTTATTATGAAACCTTTAAATATAGAGCAATGGCTTAAACATTGTTAACTATTTTACCACATGAGGTAAAATACTTAGAGTTTCAGAAAGATATGAATCCCCTGTTCAATAGAGCATTTATTATATCATGAGGCTTTTAAATATAGAGCCATGGCTTCAAAATGGCTAACTATTTTCACCAGATTGAGTCATATTATCATGTTATTATAAGCCCTATCTTTCTTGAGTGAAATGGCTTCCTCTGGAAATTGTACAATGTTTCAAGTTTTTCCCCTGTAATTTCGATTTTACACATTCAAAATGATACTGGTCTGGTCATGGCTTTTATTATTTGAGTTGTAGAGAGAGACGGTGGGGGTTTAGGGTCTTTACTTCAGGAGCTTCTTCAGTGCGAGCAGCTGAACCGATGTCAGGCTGAAGCTGTTCATGTTGATCACGGAGCGTCTCTGACCAGAGGGCAGGATTCTCAAGTAGCTGCAGGTTATGGGAGAGGTTAAGCAATTCCAGCCGTCCCTCCTTCCTCCTCTAAAGCCAGGTTTCCTCCGCCAAAGGGCTGAAGCACCTGCCTGCTTCCTGGCCTCTTTGCTAGAGGGTGTGAGGTTCTTTCATTTAATTGCAGGAATGGGGAGATGAGGGGTTCTTTTATCAGGTGCTCAGACTCAAGAGTTGTTAGTGCAGATGCAAAGAGCTGGTTGTGACATGCAATATCCTTCATCTACCAAAAGCTGAGCGAAATGTGACACACATCGTAACTTGTTTTGTCAATCAAACAGTACAACATTTAGAGATAGAGAGCAAATCCTCATGAGGTGAAGATGTCCTTCACCTGAGTTCAGCTCCAACATGGATATTATTATAATGTCTGTATGTATAAATCACAAATTGAATAGGATAAAGACTGCAAAATATTCGAGTCGCAGGAAGCTAAATATTTGTGAAAGACTAAATATGTGTTAAAGTACCATTTTGCATTGCGGAGCTGCAAAATATCCCGTGTGTTAAAAATCACACCATGATGATATTCATATATTTTGACAATGATAATGAGGGCAATGATGCTAAAATGATCAAAATCAAAGAAGCTTTATTGGCAAAAAGACAATATTGCCAAAGCACATTGTACAAGGTGGTACAACAGAAAACATTAAACAATCATGTTACTTCAATTAATGCAATTCAAATTCAAGGAAAGAAACATAACTGATGGAGGATATCATCATCCAAATAGAAGTCATGATTATAAAATGTGTGGTCAATCAATGCTCTTACACATTTTTCAGCCCTAGATATGATTTAAGTTTGCATTAAAGTGCATATAGTTATTTTAATTCTGATGGAATCTGTAACTTTTTTATTTTGGGCAACCTGTGCCTTTATTGAAGTGATGGTGAGGAAAGGGTGACACAGAGGGCCTGATGGCAGCAAATGGTCCCAGGCCAGGTTGGACCCAGGGTCCTACAGTGCCCAGTACATGGGTTACCAGCTCTGCCAATTGTATACTATAGCGGCCCAGAATCCCACTTTTAGCCCGTCTTCTTGAAGCATTAATGTGAAGCGTGTCTTCCCCAACACTGTTGCTGGTATTCTGCACGGTGCCATCCATGGCCCTACACATTTTATCACTTGTGGTACCTGCTCCGCTGACTTTTAATGCAACATTTTGTGCATTCTTCAGAGACAACAAGTGTTCGCTGTAGGGGGCGAAGAGAAAGCTTTTTCTTGTGTTGAATCTGAGCATGAATACATGCTTTCTGTTGAATCCCATGTGATAATATCAGCCTAAATGCATTTTTAGATTATTGCTTTTAACTTTAATTAACATGGGAAGAAGAAAGTCTGTGGGCAGTAAAGCACTGGAGCACAGTTCAAATGTATTCGTTTGCTGCGGGCGCTGATATCTCAACACTTCTCTTCTTAAAACATAATTACCACAGAGTGAGAATCAAAGGGAAGAATATGGATTAAACATTTATTTTAGCCCAGAAAATGTGCGGCCCTGATTTTTTAAAATTTTGTTAACGTTTGTCCTTAAACTATTCTCTGTGAGTCAATGTCCTTACTGTTCCACCGCTCAATGTAACACCCACAGCACTTAGCCCTGTCTGTAACAAAGCCAATTACAGTCAAACACGTATCACCAGCTCCCATGCCCTCCACTCCGCCTCTGACTGAAACTCTATCCGTGCCTCAGGTGTTTCCGACTTGACAAACTACTATAGCTCACGACAAAAAGTGACCTTACAGAAGAGGCAAAAAATCCTGAAAATGTCAGAAAAATGCACAATTTCCATGCTTATTTCCTTTTTCTGCCAATTTGTGTTTACGCTCCAAACAAAACAGTCATTAATATTGAGCAGCCCTGTTTGATTTTGTGATGGGAATAGATGCTACTTGTGTAACTAGGAAACGATTTGCCCCTATTCTTTCAGTCGACACAAACAATTTACTCGAGGCGTGCGAGAATAGAGCATGCTAGAGTCGCTGCTATAAGCAGGAACAGACGTCCTCGCTCTTTACAATCTGAGCCGCTGTATAAATAAACAGATGACTCCACAACATGCCACGGAGTAAACGTGAAGAAGATACAGATAAGGGTTTGCTGCTCTTAATATTTAACCTTAAATGCATTTACAAAGCAGATCTTTTAACCGCCCGCATTACTGGGAGCATGAATGTCACATTGCATCTGAGGGTGTAATTATAACTCATAGTAGGGAAAGATGTAGTATGAGTAAAAATACATACACACAGCAGCTGAATGGAGTAGTAAATGATGGGAACATAATAAGCCAGGCATGCAGACTGGAGACGTAGACACGGAGACACCGCAGGCTTCACTCAATTAGCAGCGCCCTGTATGTGTGCTTGCAATATTAATTTAAATGAAAGTATAGGAGCAAAAACAAGAAAGTAAAAAAAACACTTAATTTTCCAATTTCACTTTGGGGAACGTTTTCAAGGGGTCAATGATCTGATCATGACTTTTAAAATAAAAATGTATGTAAGTAGCCTAAATAAAAACCAAAGAGGCAGTACGTCTAGCTATAATATATCAATCTTTATTTTAACCCTAATTCTGCCAGTAATCCCCATTATTTTAGAATAGTAAAAGTAATCTGATCTACATTTTTTTTATGTAACTATAAGGGAACATCACTACCTTTTTTTGTTTCCTGATTACATAATTCCGTTACATTTAATAATTGACTCCCAATGCCTGCTTGTACTACATTAGGAAATGTCCCAATGGAAAGAATGATCAATGTTTTTTTTTTAACTATTCCTTTCAGGATTTACCCTGTAATTTTGGATAGAATAAATGTTTTATTGGAATCCACTTTAAGATGGTTCCTTTGTTCTGTCTAATGCTTCTGCTACTGATTTCCCTTCAGTCTCTTTAAAACCAGTTGACAGCGCTCAGAGAACTGAATGTGGTGTGACAAAGTAAAATGATGTCATAAAAAGTACAACATCCAGCTGTTAAAGAACTACAGACAATAGCCTAATAGAGGTGTTACTCAAGGGATAACATTTATTATGATAGCCAGAAAGGCCTGAGCGGAGACTAGTGTCATAATAATTGGAATGTTCAATGGTGGAAGAAGTCCCTTTACTTAAGTAAAAGTATACTACAGTGTAGAAATACTCAGTTAAAAGTAAAACCCTTGCATTTATTGTTTGTTACCTAACTGAAAGTACAGAAGCATTAGCATCAGAATATAAAAGTACCACATCTAAGTAGTAATAATGCAGTACGGCAATTTTCGGAATAATAGCTTTTATATCACTGGGTTATAATAAGAGATCCATTAATGTGTATAAAGTTGCTGAACTCAAAGTAGGGTTTGGGTTAGTATGTCAACCTGTAATCTGGTCTGGTTCAGAAAATAAAGTCACTCCTGAGCATGTCTCCCTTAACACACTGGACTAAAAGACCCAACAGCAATACTGAAATCCCAAACTTCAAGACATCATTGTCATGAAAATGTTAACTTAAGTTAGGGTTAATAATTCAATCTGCAATCCCGACTGGTCCCAAAAATCAAGTCACTATTGTGCCTGTATTTGAACACATTTTTAATATTTACCTTTTCATCTTTTCACATCTCTGTCAGAATTATACATGGCCACTGTTTTCCATTCAACTCCTATCTTCAATTATGGAAACAAAGAGAAATACATCTGATCAAACAAATACCCACTGAGTTCTTACTGGCAGATTCTGAGAAAAAGGTTAAAGTCAAAGAGCAGTCTCACCGTGGGGCCCGCTGGCATATTGCTCAGATGGATATACAATATGCACCCGGACACTGTTATTTACATTATAAAATGTCAGCCATTTAGAACCATGTTCTGTGGATTCTGGCTGTCATATCGCCCATCAGTCGTAGAAGTTTACGCTTGAGCTTTGATGGTTCCAGAAACGTTTTATTGGACATGTCCGTCTGGAACATGAGGCAAACAGAAGCATGTCAATAAGAAATTAAACAGAAAACAATTTTTGTTGGATTCCAATGCTCAGTCTGTAGGGACTTGGCATTGGAACCTGAGGGTCATGGGTTCAAGTCCCACAACAGACCAGGTTAAATTTCCCTTGAGCTAGGCACTAGCCCCCAGCATTGCTCCCCGGGCCCCCCATTTCTCCCAATATCGGTTAAATGGAGTCTAAATCTCACTATGTGCCATGAACATGTACATGATGATTAAAGAGGAAATCATCCGAATCCTCCATTTCAATTTA